CTCATTATATCATATATATAATGACCTTCTTTGTATCTTTCTAAAGTTTTGACCAAAAGTCCATTTTCTCTGAAATGAGTACAGCTTATTTTCCTGCTCACTTTTTGTTTATACATGATAGTAATTTTTTTTTTCCATTCCTTCATTTTCAGTCTGTGTTTCGTAAGGTGAGATGAATCTCTTGTAGGCAGCATATAGTTTGGTCTTTTTTGATTTCTTTTTTTTTTTTTTAATCCATTCAGCTATTTTATGCCTTTTGACTAGAGAATTTAATACATGTACATTAAAAGTAATTATCTATAGGTAAGGACTTACTAGTGCCATTTTGTTAATTATTTTGTGGTTGCTTCATAAATTTTTGGTCCCTTTTCTCCTCTATTACTTACTTTCTTTGTAGTTTGAGGATTTCCTGTACTAGTATGCTTTTGTTAGGTTCTTCTTAGATTTTGGGTACCTATTATAGGCTTTGGTTTTGTGATTACCCTGAAGCTTATATAAAACATCTTCTAATTGGCATTTAAATTCAACAAAAGCTCAACTTTGAATGTGTATACACATTTACATTTTTATTCTCTCTACTTCTACTTTTTATGTTTTGATGTTATAATTTGCATTAAAAATTTTTTATCCTTAAATTATTGCAGCTTTAGTTGTTTTTAATAGTTTTGCCTTTAGTGTTTTCACTAAACATAATCATTGGTTTACCCACTAACATTATAGTATTAGAATATTTTGTATTCGGCTCGGCGCCTATAGCTCAACCAGCTAAGGCGCCAGCCACGTACACCTAAGGTGGCGGGTTCGAATCCCCAGCCCGGACCCGCCAAACAACAATGATGGCTGCAACCAAAAAATAGCCAGGTGTTGTGGCGGGCGCCTGTGGTCCCAGCTACTTGGGAGGTGGAGGCAGGAGACTCGCTTGAGCCCAGGAGTTGGAGGTTGCTGTGACTGTAATGCCACGGCACTCTACCCACGGGGATAGCTTGAGGCTCTGTCTCAAAAAAAAAAAAAAAAAAAAAGAATATTTTGTATTCTACAATGTATTTACTTTTACCAAAGGATTTTATGCCTTCATATATTTTCATGTTACTAATTAGCATCCTCTTCCTTCATCTGAAATAACTCTCCTTAGCGTTTATTATGAGGCAGTTTTAATGGTGACAACTCTCACAGCTTTTGTTTGAGAAAGACAAATTTGCAGAGTATAGTATTCTTGATTAACAATCTTTTTGTTCTTTTAGTATTTTGAATTTATCATCACACTCCAGCCTACAAAAGTTTCTGTTAAAAAAAATCTGATAATCTTCAGGGTGTTCCCTTGTGCGTAATAATTTAACACTGTCTTTGTCTTTAACTTTTAATTATAATGTTTCTTGATGTAGGTTTCTTTCAATACATTTTTTCTGGATCTATTTATCTATTTCCTTTACTAGGCTTGGGAAGTTTCCTGACATTATTTCTCTATGTTTCCTTTTCATTTTTCTCTCTCTTGTCTCCTTCTAGCACACTAATAACATGTATGTTATTATACTCTAAGGGTGTTCCATAAATCTCAGTCTATCCTTACTATTTTTCATTCATTTTCTTTATTGCTTCTTAGATTGTGTGATTTTCAGTGATGTATCTTTAAGTTCTTGATACAAGTTAGTTAGAAGCTAGGTTTTCACATAGCCAATGGAAGAATGTGTTATAAACCTCTTCCAGGGAGAAATGGAGCTGAATTTAATCCCCAACTTGACCCTGCTTCTGAGAGAAGAAGCCTTTGAAAGTGCTTATGTGCCCATATATAATAAAATGCTACTTTTTCCTGTGGTCTAGGAAGGCATGTGTATGCCATTCCCCCTGTTCTCAGAACTAGGAGGTTTAGGGTTTAGTCCTTTTGAGTGTAAACTATGAAATTTGTGGTGCTCAATGTCTGAACAAACTCCTTCCAGGATGGATTAATGGAGTTACTGCTCGGGCAAACAAGGAGAGGAGGCTCAAGAAATGCTGATTTGTTTCTCAGACTGCCAGTGAGCTATTATTTTTCTGCCTTTTTAACTCTTAATACTTGTTAGAAGCCAGCCTACCAAGTAGCCATACGAAAAATGTGTTTTCTCCAGGGAGGCTACATTACAGAAAGCCCCCCTTTCATGTCTTCTGGGGGCTGTAGCCCCCAGAATTGTTTGCATGTGTGTATAATACTGCCTTTTACCTTGTGTTCTAGAGAGACTCATGTGTCAAATCCCTTGTGCTCCTAGACTTGGCAAATTAAAAGTCACATCATGGGGAACCTTAGAGTTAGTGTGGTGTAGGTGAGCTCTAAACCCACCTCTCCACAGGGAGAAGTTCTCTATTTTATGGTGCAGTGCTGGGCAGGATCTGTGCTGGAGGGTGCCTCAGCTTTTCCTATCCACTCAATGTGGGTGTTTTCTCAGCTGCCTGGTGGGTAGGAGTCTCTCAACTGGTCTCCAACTCTCAGTGGGAATTGATCTGTGAATAGATATTTTTTTTGGTACATTCGTGGGTGGAGGGAGAGTTAGGAGCTTCCTATTCTGCCACGTTGCTAACGTCACCCTGAAATTTTTTTTTATGAGTGGGATATATCATTCTGTTTGGGTTCTTTCAATTCAGAAAGGTTTTGAAAATATGGATCAGCTCAAACAATTTTATATTCTGGGAAGATGAAATGTTATTAGAGTAGAAAAAAGAAAACAACAAAGAAATCAACAAAAAACCCATTTGCTTGAAATGGCTAATGTAAAAGATATTTTACAGCTGCTATTTTCTATACATATGTTGAATGTTTCTGCAAAAAATATTTCTAGAGATTACATGTTAGGTGATGAAATTTCTAATTAGAAATAAGGCTTGTGCCAACGAAGAAGAAAATGATGATGAGAGCTGTCATTTAATGTATTTTTAGGGCATAAATATATGTCCAGTTAATGTATTTTGGGGCATGGATCAAAAATCTGCCCCCCAAAACATAGTTTTTTGAAGATTCATACCTAATTGTCTGGTTTAAAAAGATGTATGATCAGTTTGATTGTTTGAGACATAAGCTAGGTCTCTGTACAACCCATGTGATATTGCCTTCTTTGGACTGTCACATCCCATCAGTGGATTGAGTTTATTTTCTCTTCTATCAGCCTTGCTGCAACCTTTATCCTGAGCAGATGCTCATTCTAAACACGCTAATCTAGCATCCCTGCCAGTTCTAGTCATGGCAGGATTCATTTTTGTCACTTAGGACTATTGAATCCATTACTCAATCTTACCTGCCACTACCCAAACTCTAAGTTATTATTTAAATATGGGAATTCAGAGATTGGTGAGCATTTTTGTCTTTGAGCATCTGGTAGGTTTGGGATTAATTGATTAGGTTGCTGATTCAAATGTATCCAGAAGGAAAAGAAAAATTTCTAACTTCTGATTCCTTTATTTCCTTAAGGCCAGTCCTACTGGCTTGGGTGTACCTGTTCATTATTTTTGAATATTTAAAAATAGTCTCATTATGTCTTGATTATTGAGGCCCCAACTACTTAGCCTGTGGGTGCTTCATATCCTTGATTCTTTTCTATCCTTGCCTTGATCATAGTCACCAAAATATTTTCCAGCCTTTATTAAAGTTTGGGACTACATCTTATTCTTTTTTTTTTTGGTTGTGGTATGAGTAGTGGCCTCCCAAAGGGATATGTCCACATCCTAATCTCTGGAACCTGAGAATGTTACTTTATTTGAATAAAGAGCCATTGCAGATATAAAAAGTTAAGAATCTCAAGATGAGATCATCCTACATTGTCTATTTGAGCCCTAAATCCACTGATGTGTGTCCTTATGAGAAACACACAGAGGATAAGATGGGGACCGAGGAGTAGGAGATGTGAAGATGGAGGTAGAGATTGGAGTGATGTGGCCACAAGCCAAGGAAGCTGGTGACCACTGGAAGCTAGAAGACCCATGGAAGGAATTCTCCCTTAGAGCCTCTAACCTTGATTTCTTATAATAGCAACAGTAAGCTAAAGCTCTCTCTATCCATGGTACCTGGCACAGGATCTGGCACATAGTTAGGTTCTCAGTAAATTCTCCTACATCAATAAATGATTTGTAATGATAATACAAATAAATAATTTGTGACTAAAAGGTTGACAGAAATAAGACAGTCTTTGGCAATAAAAAGCTAGTTTTATCTTACCCATGCTTTCCCTGTTCACTTCCTTATTTAGGTTGGGAAAATATTCAAGTTTAATGACAAGCCTGTGCTGGAGCAATGTTACTAGAACTTTAGAAAAACACTGGGAAATAAGATATCCTGCAATTTTATTGCCTCATTAAGCAATGAGTGATGAGAGTGATTTTTGCAGTGGCATGACAGATGCTTTGCCCATCTCTTTTCCTAGTAATTAAGGTTGTTTTGGACATGAGAGCCATCCAGCCTTCCCTGGAAGTTACAGTCTCTGCTTTTGGAATGTAAGAATGCTCTTCTTCTTGTTTATGAGCCCTGTTTGAGAAATTCTTGACCATCATACAGATGTGGCATATAAAACTCAACATATGTATTGACATATGGCTACTGAAATGGCTTGATATTTATGGTGTTACCTCCAGTCAATTTCTAATCACTGTGATCTGTAAAGAAGTCTAGATCTGCTCACCTGTTTCCTGCAGAGTAATAGCTTAAGATCCAGTGTATGTGGATGTGAGGAGAAAACACAGACACTTTCTTCCAACATTAAAAGTAGAAATGGTTTGAAGTCCATATATTCAGATTACCTCGAGTGATTCAAAAAGAACAAACTATTATCCACCATGCTGAAAAACCTTGAAGGTTTTATTCTCAATATCTTTACATTAATTCAGATGCTTTTTATTTTGTGCTGAGAAAACCAATCTGTTACACGTAATGTAACTTTAATATACAACATAGAAACTCATCCTAAATTAGTTACAACAAGAACCTACAAAAAACTTCATAGGAAAAAAAGTTACCTAATATTGCCACCGTAGTTTTTTTTTTTTTTTTTAGTAGACTGACCCTGTCAGACCCTGTCACCAATGCTCAGCTCTGTAAACAATGGTTATTCCATGTTTGGGGTGGGGAACTGTTAATAATAGGGGCACTAGAATCAGCCTAGAAAGTTCTAGCACATCACTATATACTGTACAGTCCTCAAAAATAATTTATTGTACTGTTTCTAAAAAAAGGTACTAGGGTTGTTTTTCTGCTCTGCTGCCGTATTCTGGAGCTGCACATGAGCACTTTTGTCTAACAGTCTAAAAACACGAGAACTGAACTGCAATTCACAATCACAGAGATGAGGTGGTAGAGTCGAGGACTTCCCGCCCATTGCACACCGTTGGGACATATGTGCTTGCAGAGGCTGGAAAACAAAACGGGAAAGAAAACTTGAAGTTAGTTAAGTGGCTACAGAGGTGATGGTGGACATTAGGCTAAAATTATTTTAAAAACTCATTTTAACTTGGCTTTGGAAAATGCAAAATGATTCAGTGCTATAGTAGGTCAGATTTCTAAGTAGGTTCTGCTCAAACTTAGTTTGCATCCTGTAACATATACTCACTACTGTGATCCCTCTTGGAGAGAGAATTTATAAGCATTGTCGTTGTAGAAAGAAATCACTTATGGGTTGAAAATTAGCTTTGGTAATCTACAAACTGGTTAAAATACAATGTGTAAAACTGTAAGCTTACTATAATTTTCTTACAGATTAATTACTTACTATTGTTGATATCTTATAGGTTAATACTTTACTATTTTGATAGTTATCTCTGGTTAGGGATGACTCTTATGTAGTCCCATGAGTTACCTGTGAACTCTGTTGCTTTAAAGAATGGTTTGATATATTTTTATAGTTCAAGTAGATAAACTCAGTGAAAATGCCTGTGAGGCCTGAGGTGCCAAGAGCTTCAATTTCATAATAGTTCTCAAAAAGAAGACGTTCCAAAGGGGTGAATGCCCTAGGTAATAACAGTAGTGACGGCAGTGTCATGATGTGTGTAGAATACAGGTACATCTTCTACATATTCATTCACTTATGATATTTAAGTTTTCCCAGATACAACTCTTAGCTGTTAACTTCTTGTTGGTAAACTTTTGTTTTTATGAGCAATCTAGATACTGATAAATTATGTCTATTTTACCCTTAATGCTTTTTTTATTCCCACTGAATGAGGACAAAAACAAGAAGCTCCATTCTCTCTGGGATGAAACCACATAGCCAAGAGTATAGGTTAGAGATGGCCTTCCATTACCTTTAAGGACTCACTAAAGTAAGTCCTTGACCTTCCGTCCACTGGTCTGTCTATCTGGAAACACTCTGACCAGTAGGAACTGATCCTCTGGCTACTTGACCATGGCCCAGATGAAATTGACCAGTCATCTATCTCATTCTTTAAAAGCACAACTCACAGTTAATTAGCAGATAAATTAATTTCATGCTAAAGCTGTCACACCTGAGAGTGGATATATCCTTGTCCCACAAATTTATATTTTGCATAGGAATTTCTTTAGACATGAAGGAATACTTAATTATGAAATATGAGATTATGTGGAATTCTGTGGGGGAATATGCACCATATTTATATGCCTGTATTTGGGCACTAAAGTTTTTCAGCTGGTTCACTACTAGGGAATCTATAGCCTCTCAATTTTGCATTGATTACTTTGTTAGGTATGTGAAAAAATCTATAAAGTCAAGTCTATGTGGCTGCCTAAAGTTACTGTAGACATGACAGGTGTGACAGGCTAACTCTTTTGGAGTTGTTTTTACCTTTAATCATTGTTAGGATTAGGTTCAATTTTCTTTAAAATATAAAGCACTAAAAGCTACAGTATCTTTGAGGACAGAGGTGGCATAATCTATGTTTCGTGAAACTTCTACAGGGAAGAAATTTTTAACACAATATGTTCCAGATAAGTACTTGACTATGATAATAACTCCAAATGTGAGGGCTTTATTCTTTGAAAATATTTGAATTAGATAAAGTATTTTCTCAGACTTTAATTCTAGCTTCATCAAAGCTAAGGTAAGGTAAGGCAAAGAAGAAGGCAAGAGTGAAGTTCAAATCATAGGTCACTGGAAACCTGGGAGAACACATGAGCTGTTCAATATCTATTCTTTCTGCAGCTCCTTGTATCCAGTTGCCTACTTGAAATCTCCATGTGGATGTTTAATGCACATTTAACAACCACAGCAGACCTCTTAATTACCTAAACTGTTCCCATTTGGTCTTCCTTTCCTCAGTTAATTTCCCATCTGGATAATTAACATAAAAACCCAGTCTAAAGTTTATGATTCATTCCTTTTTTGTCACTGCCCCCATGTCAAACCTATCATCAGGTCCAATCAACTCCATATTTATACCAACGACTTCTATATTAGCATCTACCACCTGGGCCAACCCACCATTATCTTTCTCTTGACTATTATAATAGCTGTACCACTGACATATCTTTTTCTACTCTTGTCTTTGGCAATATATTTTACCTGCAGCAGTAAGAGTATTTTTTTTTTTTTTGACTGGGGCTGGGTTTGAACCCACCACCTCCAGCATATGGGGCCACTGCCCTACTCCTTTGAGCCACAGGTGCCACTCCAGCAGTAAGAGTATTTTAAAATATTACCCACATACCTACACACCTCCAATGGATTCCCTTTGCTTAGCTCCTTACTCTGGCTTATAAGCCTGCTATGATTTGGACCTTGCCAATCTTTGTATGTTCACCTCTTTCCCAGTTTGCTTTTGTCTTAAAGCATAGCAAATCTGTTTCTTAACTTTGTGCCTTTGCAGGAGGCTTTGCCTCTGCTAGGAATGTTCTCTCTGATCATCACATGTCTGACTCCTCATCATGCACATCTGAAATATCACCTTCTCAGGCTGTTATCAGGCCATGTAATCTAAAATAGTTACTTTCTTTCATATCACCCAGTTTTGAAACTCAGCTTAATTCAGTTGTTACTACCTAATTTTTTTCTTGCTTATTATTTTTTTGGTTAGTGTCCTATATTTTTGACCAGAAAATATGCAATGGCTTTGCTTGTCTATTTAATTATTTTTACCTTAGTACTGGTCATGGAATAGACTCTATAAATATTTCCTGAATGACCACATAAATGTTTGCATTTCAAAGAATGAGGAAACCAATGAAAGTTTTAAGAAGGAGATAATCTTTTGTTCTAAAGAAACGACCAACAAACGTGAGGCCTGTGGGTAGCCTTATTTTCCAACAGGTGGGATTTTTGTTTCTCAAGCCACGTTGGAGCCATGACCATCTACCCTTGTGAAGAGGTTGTGAGCTCCCCATAGGAAGTTTACTGCCTTTGACATTTTGACAAATCTCTTTACCTTTTCAGGGATCAAGTTTTATTATTTCTGTGCAGGTTTTTCATTTTCAGAGACTGAAGAGGAATGATGTGTCATGGTGGTAAATCTAGGAGAACTAAGGACTAGTATGCCAGTGCCCCTCTCTGTCTACCCGGGACCAGACCAGTCTAATGCTCTCACTATCTGCAGTTCTTGTCTAATACTTTTACCTGTATTTCTTAAGATTTTATCACAAACCTACTCTGACGTTCCCCATCCTATTGTGGAACTTGGTATAATATTCTTCTTTGAAGTGCACTCTTAAGAATGCTTTCTCATTACATTATAATTTCTTTATAGTTGAACGTATTTTGATAATCTAGATAAGAAAGCTATGGTCAGCTTGGTGCCTGTAGCTCAGTGGCTAGGGCGCCAGCCACATATACTGGAGCTGGCTGGTTCAAATCCAGCCTGGGCCTGCCAAACAACAATGACAACTACAACCAAAAATAGTCGGGTATTGTGGCGGGTACCTATAGTCCCAGCTACTTGGGAGGCTGAGGCAAGAGAAATGCTTAAGCCCAAGAGTTTGAGGTTGCTGTGAGCTGTGATGCCACAGCACTCTACTGAGGGTGACATAGTAAGACTCTGTCTCAAAAAAAAAAAAAAAAAAAGCAAAATAACCAAAACAACAAAACGCTATGGTTGACCTAGTCTAGTTACATAGAAAGTCATCATGTTTTAGTTTCAAATAGCCTTATACTGTGCACCCATGGACAATTTTCAGTTATCTGTCTGCTTCATAGTGACATTAAAGGGACCACTCTATGTCAAGAATGTTTAACCTCTTTGAAAGGAAGATAACGCAAACTTAAGACCGTCTTAAAAGGAATAATAACAAAACTCACAAGACTCCTTTCTGCTATTTTTTTCTCCCTAAACACCTTTTAGTGTGTTAAAGGGAGCTCTAACTTGTATAGTTCTGCCTCTCTTTTACAAACGCAACAAAACATTTTGTTGCTTTTGCCAGTACATTTTATTTTATTATTTAAAAAAATTGTCTCATTTCTGCACATGTTGCTGAATATAGTAGAGGAAAGTTATTGTTTCTATTGTTGGGGATTCATTGAGGGTACAAGGAACCAGGTTACACTGATAGCATTTGTTAGGTTAAGTCCCTCTTATAATTTATGAGTTTACTATGTCTATTACTTTGCCTCTCATAAATATTTTACATATTAGTCCTTTCATTGTGGTAAAATATGTGGAAAGGCAAAAGTACAGTTGTGTGTGTGTGTGTGTTTGTGATGAGCTTTTTCTATTATGATGAAATTCTCATGGGATTTTTAGTGGTCTAAGTTTAGCATATTTTCTTAAGTGTGGGTAAGCAGGTTTCTATAATCATTCTTTCTGCCAGAAATAAGAGGTATGTAGTCTTATTTTTGTCTTTCCTGTGGCCTGTGGTGAGTACCAGTTATTAGTTACTCTAGACTAAGGGGGTGCTTTTTGCTATTCAAAATAAAAATTGAAAGTAACTGAAAAAGACCTTGTAAGTTCCAATATTGATCACAAAAGAGTAATTCATAGCCATCAAAAGGCATATTTTGCTCCACAAACTGGTGAAACATTGGAGATCAATGTAGCCAAGTGGCAGCATTTTATTGTTCTTTGAAATCCACTTCTTTTCCACCAGTAAAGCACAGACAGGCCAGGCTTTGGGGAAAATGATTCTACTTTTTTGACGTAATTAGGCCCTCAATCAATGCTAAATATATTTATTTAAAGGATTTTTTTTTAATAGACAGCAAGTCTTTTCGTCAATTTAGTGGCTAAAACTGGTTCCTGAGAATCAGTGTGTTGCTATAACTGTGTAATACATCAGACTTGGAAAAACATTAAACAAACATTCCAAAAGAACAGACATTCCAGCTTGCCCCCATCTGTTCCATTTCCTTGTTCCTGGTGACCCCAAACAATTTTTCCCAGGACATCTGTTTGTTTAGATATTTTAATATTATGGTAATAGAATCCAGTTTCCACCAGCTATTTATTGCCTTAT